CAAAATATGAATAATATATTTAGTTGCATTAAAAACAATTAGTGTTTGACCAGCTAAATTTATTTTTTTTGGAATTCACTATGTTTTTTTTTTTCATTTACAGGTACTTATGTGATTCTGGGACAGTGGAAGTTATTGGACCCATTGCTTCTTCCGTAGAGGATGCAATGCTAGTGTATGTGACACATTTTCCTTTTTCCTTAAGTTTTCCTTTTTCATTAACTCTTTTATTTTGCAAGTCTTATATCTACTCTGCATTCCTCAAAAGACTAGTTACTTTACATAATTCCGCCATTGACATGCAGGCTTTGTTCTAGTAACCTAGTTATGTTTTTTACCCTGCAATCAGCATCTATTTGGTAGTACATCATTGTTAGATAATGCTTGATTTTTGTGGGTTCTGATAACACTGAGACTTAGGCGCCCCATAATACCCAATTTTCTATTAAGGTGCAAACTTCTCATTATGCAGTGTGATAGTAATGTAGATGTATAAGTTTTATCTGGGACTTTCAGTAGAAGTAAAAAGTTTATTTGGTAAATTGGTTTTAGAATCTAATAGGCAGTTTCAACCAAAATAAATTAGTTCTCAGCTTTAATTCTTGTAAAATACAATGCCTAAAATAAATGAAAACTTCTTTACTTGCATCTTTATGGTTTACACACTAGGCTATCTTTTGTGTATTTGCTTTATTACAACTTTTTCAAATTCTTTCACTTTTATGGAAAGCTTCCCTTGATGACCCTTCCCACCATCCTTTTTTCTCATGTAAGATAAATTGTTTTTCCCTATTGAAATTTCAGAATTTATATCTCATCGTTACTGAGTACAATGGATTCAACTCTATTAATAGACTTGTTGTTTAACTAACTTCTAACTAACTCCCTTAAATCAAAGGAACAATTCCTGAATTCAAGGAGTTGTTATAACCTAAACTAACAGCATGTTGTTATAACATAAACTAACATCATGTCAGCTGGCACAGGTGCCGGCTATCATGCCTTAACTAAAATATCTCTAACATACCCCCTTATAAACCGGAGGTTCCAGTTTTACTAGAGATTTGTCAAAGACTTTCAGTTTGTCTTGGTTGGAAATTCTGCATTCACTGTGGTCCGCTCCTTGCCGCCTAATTGCGTCACTTGATTTGCCTTCATTGCAGTTTCCAACACCTTCACTGTGTTGGATTTGAAAGGATGGATTTAGTCTCACATTGCTTAGAGATATGACATGTGTAGTGTCTATTAAGTTTGAGCAGCCCCTGCCTTACAAGCCGCTTTTGTAGGGATGAGTTCGGCCCAACCCAAATTTCAAGTTGGTACAGAGTCAATCCTAGATCTGTTGTTGGGATTCCCACATCGTCCATACTTCAGCTCATTGAGACTTGAGCGTGAGGGAGTGTGTTGGAAATTTTGCCTTCATTGCGGTCCGCTCCTAGTCACCTTATTGCGGCACTTGGCTTGCCTTCGTTGCAGCCTCCAACACCTTCATTGTGTTGGATTTAGTCCCATATTGCTTAGAGATATTGGCATGTGCAGTGTTTATAAAGTTTGGGCAACCCTCACCTTAAGTTGGAGCTCAGAGAGAAGGGATTGAAGCCCTATAATATCAGCAGATAGAGTGGCAAGGTTCATGTATTCTGCTTCTGCACTGGAACGGAACAGGCAACCAAATTCTGTTTTTTAGACCACCTTGATAGATGGTTTGGGCCTAAATAGATACATGCTCTTGAAGAGAGAAGGGATTTAAGCTAGAGAACTTTAGTAGATAGAGTGGCAAGGCTTTTGTATTCTGCTTCTGCACTGGAACGGACAACTAAATTCTGTTTTCTAGACCACCATTATACAAGGTTTGGGCCTAGATAGTCATGCTTCTAAAGTTGATCTTCTATCATCTAGGTGTGAGGCCCAATCAACATCACCAAACCGTGTGAGTGAATGATTGAATGGGGGAGGCAGGTTGAATAAGGAGACCACCATGGAAGGTACCTTTATGGTTGAGATGAAAATTGATATACTTTGTTATCTGAGAAAGAGATCTTTGGCCTAGTAAGAGTATCATACTGCAATGCACCTACAATCGAACGATATAAGGTAGGTTCCTCAACATAGTTTGACCAAGTCTCGGAGAGCTTACTGCCGGATATTATAGGAATGTTGTCCACGTGAGCTCTAATAAGTAAGTGTTTGAGAGAGACGAAGTGAATCATGTGGTAAGCGAGTTATCTCAATACCCAAAAAATAAGTTATTTGAATGCAAAATCATAATTGAGTTTGTTGATTAACTGCTAAATGTGTGGTAAGGAATTTCCTGTGATTATAATATCATCAACATATACAAGAACTAGAATAGTTAAGGATGTTGTTCCGATTATAAGGAGACTAGGATCACATTTACTTGTACTAAAACCATGTTAGATACGGGCAGTTTTGAGTCTTTCAAACCAAACTCTTGGAGCTTGTTTGAGGCCATAAGGGTCTTGTTTAGCTTGCATACTAAGGCCTTATTACTGCTCTCCAAGCCAGGAGGCTGCTGCATATACACTTCTTTCTCTAGATGACCATTCAAGAAAGCATTATTGACATCAATTTGCTTAATTGGCCAGCTGTTGGTGACAGCAATAGTGAGAATAGTACGAATAGTCACAGGTTTCACAACTAGAAAAAATATTTGTGTATAGTCTGAACCAAGTTTTTGGTGGAAACCCTTAGCTACAAGTCTATATTTGTATTTGTTAATACTACCATCTGTGTTCTCCTTAACCCTAAACACCCATTTGCATCTAATAGGTTTCCTGCGTTAGGAAGGCTCAACAAATGTCCAAGTGCCATTATTTTCCAGAGCTGCATATTCAGCTTTCATTGCAAAAAGCTAGTTCTGATCATTAAGTGCCTGGAAAACAGTGCAAGATTCTATATGGGTAAGTAACAGGGTGGGATGTAGTCTAGGTTGTCTAATGCCATTTTGGCTCTGGTTTGCATGGGATGGGAATTATGAATAAGAGGTGGTAGGCTAAACTAACTTCTAACTATACAATAGCCTCAACTTTATCTATAGAGTTGTAGTTAGGCTAAACTAACTTCTAACTAACTCTCTTGAATCAAGGGAACAGTTTCTGAAATCGAGGTGTTATATCAGAAACTGCATACTTTTATACCATAAACTAACAGCATGTCAGCTAGAACGGGCGCCAGCTGTCATGCCTTATCTGAAAGTATCGTCATCAATGTGATGCAATAATAATTTTCTTATAACATTAATGACTCCTGGTTGCTAGCCAAACATTTTTCTTCACCGCTTCAGATAAAAATAAGAGCTCCCTAAACTTAAATGCTTTTTAGTTTCCCTTCAATTGAACTCATACTTGGTTTCGTTTTAATTGTTTGAGATAACAATTAATAGTTGATCTTAAATATGAAGGCCAGATAAAAATAGCCTTCCTCTTGAAGATAATATATATTTTGAATATTTTGTGTGCTCATTATTTAGGTATGCAGCAATGTTGGGCTCATCACCTGCCACTAGAATCAGTATGAAGCCGGTAATCTTTAATCCTTTAATTGATATTGTTGCAGTGATATGAGATTGGAAACTAAAATGTTGAAAATTAGATGTCATGTACTAATTATGCATAGAAAAAAAGCAGGCAACCCTACGGTTTACTCAAGTTAATTGTGGCGGATAACTACTATCATTAAGAAAATATTGAGGTATAGGGAAAAAAACAGATAACATTTCAAATGCCACTGTTAGATTGAGCTTATGAGAGACTTAAAATTTATGATTGACAACCTAAGATTTCTTAGAATGTTCATTTGGTAAGAATCCTGTGATTTTGGAATCCGCTTTGCTAAATAGGGAAATTTTTTTACAATAAAGATCAAATTAAAATATTAGCTTAAAATTTATAATCTAACAAGTTATAAAAAAAAATTAAAAACCTGCAAATTTAGCAACAGACCCCATTCTCAAAAAATAACAGGAAAGAACTCAATCCCATAAAGTTCATCTCACTCCTTTATCAATAAGAATGGAAATTTCTTACTGCACCATATGTTTATGGAAAAAATCATATGAAAAATCAATTTTGCTCCTATTTTATTGGAAAGTGTATCTCTGGAACGCTTTTTTTGTTGTTGTTAAACTTCAGTTATTCTTGGAGATGGATATATGGGAGGGAACCGGAAATGTAACCCCGGTTAATTAGTGCATGAAATTGAAAATTTTGCCACCTTTGCATGTTAGATTTTATCAGAAGTATATTTCTAGAAAAATCAAAAGTCAAATTGTTTAAAACAACAACTAGTATAAACCAGAATGATCATCTTCATTTCCAAAAGTTTATATAAACCCACTCCAAAAACCCTTCCATTCTCAATTAAGTTTTTCACTCCAATTTTTCATTATTGTGGTTCATCATATCAAAATAAAATTGAAGGAATTGGAATTTAAGGTAAAATTCATTCATTTCAACTCACATTAATATGATTTTTCATGGAAAAAAGGTCACACTAATATCGAAAATATACTTCCGGGTATGCAATAAACTAAATTGGATATACATTTTCGGTTTCTGTCTGTGCTTATTTTCTAGCAATTTATTCCTTATTATGGATGTTTCTAGTTAAATTTTTTTTTTACATTAGGTATGATGCATCCCGATATTATTCTCAAACATATTGTGTCCCAAATTGTTCCACCTCTCTTAGTTAAGGCGGTAGATATTCAGAATCATTTTGAAAATGAACAAGAGTATGAATTTAATCTGCAGTAGATTCGTACAGAGGCCAACAAAATAGAGTTTGGTGTTGTGATCGGAAGGTCCGATAATGGTTCGGATAGAAGATGTGCATTTGTGACACTGACATGCGAAAGAAGTGGGAAATATAGACGACCTCTCCGAATTTTGAAACGAGATGATATTGGGTCAAGAAAATGTGAATGTTCATTTAAGTTATGTGGTTATCGGTTGACAAATAATAAATGGAGATTTAATGTGATGTGTGGTTTACATAATCATAATTTATGTGCAAACTTAGTCGATCATTCAATTGCATGTTGGCTCTTGTCGAAAGAGAACGAATGTGTTTCCGACATGACATTGAATTTAGTACCTCCCAAAAACATACTTGCAACTTTGAAGCGCAAAAGACCCGGGAATATCTCAAATATCAAGCAAGTGTACAATAAGAGCTTTCAATCCAAATTAGTGCTTAGGGGAGATCGAAATGAAATGCGACACCTCTTGAAACTTCTAGATGATAACAATTACGTTTCTAGGAACCAAAGATGTGAGGATGGAGTAACAGTAAAGTGAAGAGTCCATCATATTTTGAACACGTTGACAAACTTTTTCCTGATTCACCGATTCTTAAATCTCATAAAAGTGTTTTCAAATGAGTCTGCATTAGCAAATCACCTCTTACATTGACTCCACCAAAAATACCATTCATCGAGGAGATTCTGGTTTTTATACACAATTACATTGAACGAATCATCAATGTTAGGGGTAACGGTAATTATGGTTTTCAGGTTGTTTCTAATTACTCGATAAAAGGGAAGAGAATCACCAACTTGTTTGCGATACTCTTATCAAAGAGTTGATGAACAATAGAGAATAATACACACGGGTGCTCGAGACTAAAGAGAAAGTTGAAGAAATTTATCACTCTCTTGTACATTGCATTAATGGATTTGCACCGGAAGAAAAATGGATGTGCTTCTCTGAGATGGGTCATCTCAGAGCAAATGCGTATGAGAGAGTGTATTAATCTTACAAGATACGGTTTCTCAGAAACTTTTTTTTCTACTACGCACTACTCCACTACCAAATCCCAATGATCGTATCATCTACGTTGGGTTGTGTCATACCTAAATTTTTGACCTAAGATCCCACCTTCATTTGTATTTTTCATAAAGCATCAAGGTCACGAGATACAATTTATTTTTAATTCGCCCACCTTTGAGCATTGCTTATGCAGAGATTGTTAAGTGTTGTGAACATCTTATCTTATGCATCACTAACTTCTAATCAAGCACAGAGATGTGTATGTTTTTGTTTCTTTGGTTTTCATGTGCAGAGACAGGTCTGAATCAAGAGCGCCAGGTGTTGCGCCTTGTAACGCGGTGGGAGAACTGACTTGGTTGTTTTACGTTTGATCGCAATTGTCGTGGATAGTAAGAGTCGTCACCGACTTTTCTTTTATCCAAATAGAAAATGGTGAAACGAACATGAAAGACCTTTGAGATTATTTCTTGAGTTCGGGGGGTAGATTATGAAAAGGGAAGGTGTTAGCATCCTTTTCATCCGTAGTTTTCTACAGGCTCTTAGTTGCTTGCTAGATCACTTGCTTTGTTTGAAAAATGTGTTTTGTGGTGTGGTTTTTGAAAGTATTTTGAAAACGTCTTTATAATGATTCTCGTTTCTATAAGAATGCATATGAAGTGTTGGATTTGAAAATGGTTCAAGGTGATGTTTGTTTTTGAAGATGTTTTTGAAAGTGATTTTGAAAAGTGCCTTTGTAATGATTCTCGTCTCTATAAGAATGCATACAAAGACCTTGGACTTTTGAAAATGTTTCAATTGAAAGTGTTGGTGTGAAAAATATTTTTGTTGTGAGCAAGCGAGCAACTACGGGCGTCCTACGTATTCAAAGGTTTTTGTTCTTTTCCTCCTCCTTTAGATGTTGCTATCTTACCATTGATTTGACATGAAGCCCCATCGTTGGATGTGAAGGGACGAGCGTGAGTCGTTTGTATAGTCGTAGAAGGCAACCTATGAGACATTTTAGCAATTTTCGTTTAGGGACTAGATCATTCCCCGAAGGCAACATCGAGGGATTACGATCTTTTATCGAGGGTCTTTGCTAAAACGTCCATATTCGAGGGACATGACTATTTTCCAAGGCAACAAGTGAGATTATCCTAGAGGTGCAGGTGTGCAAAGTGTGTTTGATTGCGTGCATTTAAGCTTTTGATTTTGGATTGTCTACTTTTTGGTTTTATCTTGCCATACATCCTAATTACTAACATTTGTATAAAGCAATAAAAATGCAGAAAATAAATATCCTACACTATTACAACCATATTGAATAGCAAGAAAATATAAAGATAAAACAAACTAAAAAGAGGGAACATAAGTTTTTTCGAACCAGGCAGAATGCACCATTCGATTCAACTCTTCCTAGATTCTTTCAATTATGCCCTTTTTTGCTTCCTTCGATTTCAGGAAGGTTAGTGTGAGCAAGTAACCTTCGATTCACCCTTCTTGCTGCTTCTTTCGATTGGGCCTGAAAGTCAGCATGAGTGTATCATTCGATTACGCCCTTTTTTCTGCTTTCTTTCGTTTGAGGTTAGATAGCAGCCTGGGGTGAAGCCTTAGGCTTCGATTCACACATCCTTCCTCCTGTTTTCTTTCGTTTGGGATGCTACTGTGAAGCAGTAAGGGGTGAAGCTTAAGGCTTTGATTCACAGGAAGTTTTTTCTTTCATTTGAGTCTGTACAGGTTAGTTCTAACATATACTTGGACAAGAAAAGCATGCAATCAAAAGGACAGAAATAAAAAGTGAACAAATGTTATTTACATGCTTGAAACGAAAAGGTTAGGGTCAGAGTGACTTACCTTGCTTGAAGTTGGGACGCGTGTGTTGGACCTTGAGTGGCTCCCCTGAGTGCTCCTGGATTCGAAGGAAGGAAACAAATGTTATGTTTCTAGTGATGGATTCGAAAGAAGGAACCAAGTGTTGGGTTGGTGTTTCCCTGGGTTCTGGATTCGAAGGGAAGAAACAAGTGTGATGTTTCTTTTGATTCTGGATTTGAATGTTTTAAGTGTTTGAGAGTTTTTTGAGAGTTTGAGAGTTTTTGAAGATTCTTTCCCTCAGCCCAAAAAATATCCTTTTATCATCTTGCAAATGTTTTCTCTATTTATAGAGAAAATATTGGAGATGTTGAAGTAACCAGGTTTGTAGGATAAGAAACCATGGTTTGGTTGAAAACAAAAACAAGTTTAGTCAATTTTCGTGGATCCCAAGTTTCCAATACAAGTAGGGGCCTGATGTTTGTTGGGGGCAGGAGATTGACTTATGCTTTTGTCATTGCTTGTGTTCAGACAAAAATCAGATTGGAAGCTAACTTTGTGATTAAAGTACTCTTTATGAAGAAAGAATACATAGCTTTTTGCCAATCATCCAAGAATAGTATTGTCTAGTAGACAAAGTTTCGAACCTTTGTGTAATGCATCGCCAATTTGTGTAAGCCTCTGATTATGTAAAGATTTGGAAGCAACATAGCCTGACAAACGAGATTTGGAGGATAAGGCTATGAGATTTGCTCAATGTTCTTCAAACAAGCTTGCTTCGAAGGGTTCAGATTTGATTCGAAGTATGTTGCTTCGAAGGGAACCAATACTCCAATTGAAGCTTTGTGTGAAGGGTGCTCTTGTCCAATCGAAGGCTTGCCGGCTAGAGGTCACGTGGCCAAACGAAGGATGTAACCCAATCTTGCATAAAAGGGGACCACATGCCCAAACGAAGGATATAAACCAAACTTGCATTCGAAGAAGGCCACATGTCCAAACGAAAGATGCATGCAGGAGGTCCCTGCTTTGTGAATCAAAGAAAACTTTTAGAAGGCCATTGCCTTCTGAATCGAAGGACGCTTTCAGAAGGTCATTGTCTTCTGAATTGAAAGAAGCCAGCATGAAGCCACTAACTTCTGAATCGAAGGACACCAGCAGGATGCCTTTCCCTTTTGAATCGAAGGAGGCTATTTCAAAGGAAAACAAATGCCCAGTCGGAGCTTGTATAAAGATAGGCGTTGCCCTTGTGAATCGAAAGCAAATTGTTTCTAAGGGATACTTTGTCCATTCGAAGCTAGTATGAAAATAGCCAATGCATGAGGGAAGTTCCAGCCTTGTGATTTGAAACAAGCAGGAAAGAAACCTTCGTTTCCTGGATCGAAATAAACATTGTAAAGGGCCATTGCTTTGTGAATCAAAGCAAACATGTAAGGGGTCATTGTTTCAATCGAAGCTTGCATGCAAGAGGCCACTTGCTTTATGGGCACTAGCATGAAGGGAAGTCATTACCTTGTGCAGGAAGGCATGCAGGAGGCCCTTGCCTTGTGCATTGTGTAGGAGGCCAATGCTGAAGGGGGATTCGAAGCAGACATGAAGGTGGATTATTTGTCCAATCGAAGCTTGTCCAATCGAAATAGGCATGCAGGCAAACATTTGTACAATCGAAACTGGCATGCAGGCAGCCATTTGTCCAATCGAAACAAGGAAAATCTAAGAAGCCTTGAAGGAGACCAAAGTCCAATCGAAGTCTTTGTGAATCGAAGTAAACTTGTTTTTCTCCAATTTTTTCAAAAGGATTATTTTTATCTGCTTTGCCCTTGTGCAAACTTGAGCTTTTGAAAATCCTTGTAAGAAAATATCTTGAGAAAAGAGAGGGTAAATTTTAGGGTACAACACGCCTCAATTAAGGTTTTGGATCCCTCAAGTGTTCAAGTATGGTGAATCACCAATTCTCAAAGGCTACTTCATCAAAGCTTGGCCTATAATAAAAAACACAATCAAGATTCCATCATCACTGGTTCAGATGTGCATCAATATGTCTTGGAATGCAAGGAAAGACCAAGTTTGCAAGTCGATTCAAATCACTTTGACCAAAAGTAAATGTTTGCACATTCAAGTTCAAACGATCATAACTTCTACATTATTCAATATTTTTGAGTGGTTATTTTTGCGTATGACTCTCCTTGACGTTATCTCCAACTTCTCTTTACATGTCGAGAGCTGATTATATGCGGAAGATCATCGAAAATTCGAATACTTTAGAGGTCCTTTTGTGAATTTGACTTAATTCCAAGAAGATCTTGTCAAACTTTCAAGGATCATAACTTCTTCGATTCTCGACATTTTGAGGCGATTCTTTTTTCACATTGTCATGAGTGATGTCGTCCACAAGTTCTCTTCGAGGATCGATAGTTAATTGTGCATAAAAGATCATGAAAATTATTGAATCGTTATAGGTCATTTCCTAACTTTAGAATGTTCTTAACTTCTAATTTCAAATCATGCTGTAATCATTTATTCAAAGATGTTAAGATAATTCATGAAACAAGAGTTTGACTTTGAAGGTTCATGGATTATTTGTTATTCGTAATTCAAATCACTTGCGTTTGAATGTTAGTGATTATTGGATCGAAGTGGGGTTTTGATCAAAACTTTTAAGACATTTGTTTGTTCATTAAACTTGCAAGGATGGAAAGAAAAACACACCTCGATTTCCTGAGATTTAAGTAACAAGAGATTCA